ACCTCGTCCGCAGCTGAGCCTCCTTCTAGTTTCTGACCTTTGACCTTAGTTTTCTTTTGTGAGGCAGAATGTGAAAAACTTAGATTCACTAATTTCAGCTCGTCTGCTGCGTGAAGTGAGCGAGGCCGAGGTGGTTTTCACATTTTCCTTCGGAGTTCATCGAACAACGGTTCGGGTCCTCGAGGACTCGTCGACTCTCTCTTCCCATTAAATTATTACTCGGAGTGAACTCGCTCTATCGTATTTAAAGTTCGTGATTGAAGCCACGTTTACATTTAAACTGCATTTATGTGTTTTTAGTCGTTTACATCTTCTCGTCGTTCCCGTTCGTTTGCAGCATCGTCGTCTTCCCCACGAACATTCTGAGTCCGACTGTTGCTCCTTAAAGTCAAAGCCTCTGACTCATCCAAGTTTAATTTAAAGTTCATGAAGAGAATCTTATTTTTAAAACACGCTCTGGATTTATTTATTTTCATTTTCTTAGTTTTATAAAAATGCACAAAGACAACAAAGTCATCAAAGCTTGTTAAGATGAAGGGATTCATTATCCACGTTGAAGTCCCCTCTGGTCGTCAGGAGTGATTCCGTTTTACTTTCTATGTGACGACCGGCTGCGTATTATTCCAACGGATGAAAAGTTAAAACACGTCGACGTTCACGCTCATTCCGCTTGTGTCTCATTTGTCTCCTCACTTTATTTCTGTCTCTCGTGATGTAAAAACTTTCCTGAAACTTTTTTAAATTCGGAGGAATCTGCTTTTTGTTTTTAATCTTCCTCGTTTTATCCGTCGCTCGTGATTGTTTGTTTCTTTGCCGACGACGTCGCTTCACATTCGACGGGAAGACGTGAAAACTGCTCCTCGTCTCACGGCTTGTTTTTCATTCCGACCCTTAGGAGCCACCTCTCGATATGATCGTGTACATATACGTTATAGATATATATCATCAGAACTGCTGTGTACTGTAGCCTGGTGTTTATCTTGTACAGTGAATCCAGTTGTGTGTATTTATTGTGGCTAACGTGACGTCTGCCTGGCACTGACCTCAGATCATTTCTCATCTCTGTCCTTCTGAAAACATTTTAAATTCGTTCTTTTAACCCTCAGTTACTAAAATAAGATTTAACGTATCGATCGAAGTCGTCTTATGAAGCTGCAGCTAACACGCTCATTACTTCTCATGAGGAACGCTAACCGCCGCAGCAGCGTTAAACAGAAGTGTCAGTCAACCAGGACTCTTCATTTAATCAGTTAAATATACACTTTGTATGGTAACTGTCAGTCAAACAAGTGAAGCTTCAGAGTTTAATGCAGAAATACACGAGAATTTAAAAGATATTTATAAAGTGACAGTTATTCACGAGTGTCGGACTCACTTCACTTCACTTCACTCGCTCGGCGTCGCCTCCACTCGTCGTCCTTCCTGTCGCTCCTGTCGGTTTCATTAGCGCTGTCAGAAAAGCTTCTAACACCGACACACACCTGTAAACTGGAGCGTGTCAAAGCTTTTCACAAGTTCTGACTTCAGAGAAAAAAACATCCGCTCGTCACACACACACACACACACACACACACACACACACACACACACACACACACACGTCCAGGCCTTCCAGCTTTGGACGGCCGGGTCCGGAGGCTGTGAGATCTCGATTTCGTACGTTTTCTCCCTTCGCTCTTAACGGTTTGGGAAAATCTGTTTTTGGCGGCGACTCGGGGGAGTAAAGGTGAGAAGAGTAGAGCAGCCGAGGGAAGAGCCGAGGAGTAAATAACAAGTGAAGAAGAAGATCAGCTCATCCAGCCAGAAAAACAAGCTTCTCCGGAGGAAGTGAAGCGAAATGTGTCCGAACCCGAAGTGACTGAAAGTGTCTGTCAACCTGCAGCTTCTTGACTCTTTCCAGAAAACAGATCATGACAAAGAATCATTCTCTGAGTGAAGCTTTCCTACTTTTCACTTTCATTCCTTCCTCATATTTTTATCGTGACGCAGCTTCTTTACCTCACGGGGGGAAAAAATTATCATTTCCTGCAGCAAACACGAATTTCTCAGTTTCACACAAAATGTGTCTGAATTATTCTTAATTTAGTTTTTTGATGTGAGTAAAATATTTATTGTTCTGTGTGTGTGTGTGTGTGTGTGTGTGTGTGCGTGTGTGTGCGTGTGTGTGTGTTGCATGTATACGAGCTCTCCTCAGTGTAACAGTGCAGGTTGAATCTATTGTGCATCATATTAACAACTTGTGTTGTTGTCGTTGACTTTATGTCCATTAAAGATAAAAAACATCCGTTTTATTCTCCATCTTCTTTTCTTTGACCTCACCTGAGGCTCGGGGGGCACAGCGGGTTGTCCACTGACCACAGGGTCGGTGCTGCACGTGGACGCACTGTGTGAGTGTGTGTGTGTGTGGTTAAAAACAAGCAACGAGCATCATTTCCTGTGTCGTCACGACAAAACAACGCGTTCAGACGGAAGTGATAGTTTCTGGTTTTTAACTTTAAATTCATGAGAAACGTTCAGAGTTTTTTTAAAGTTTATTAAAAAGTCAGATTATTTAAATTCATCTCTGAACATCAAGAGTCGAAGTTTGAACTCGACTCGGAATCGATCTCGTAATTTTTTCTCTTTCATCTCACGTCTCGTTCAGTTTAAGAAAAGTAAAGTGCGTAGAAACTAACTTGGAGGAAAGAGATGATTAAAGTTGTTGCTTCAGTTCCTCACTTTCAACTTCAGAATGAAAACATCGAGAGAAACTGAACGGAGAGATTCTCAAACTTTTCTTTGTTTCAGTTAAACATTTGAATGTGTGTTTTATTTTAGATGAAGATTCCGTGTGAAGATGACGAGGATCCATTCAAGCATTTCAGTTTAATATCTCAACATTTGTGTGTTTGTCTTCGTTTGTTTTCTCTGAATCTTTATTTCTTCTTCTCTCTCTTTATTTCACGTGTTTCGGCCTCGATCGTTTCTTCTTCTGTTGTTTTTGGCGTCGTCTGCGTTCGTCCTTCAGGTCATTGTGGAACAAATAAAAGTCTAAATCGCAGCAGGAGGTTCAGACTCTGAGATTTTCTTATTGATCGACGGAGCGAAGCAGCAAAACTAACTCTCTCTCTCTCCTGCTCTCTCCCTCCTCCCTCCCTCCATCGGTTTCTTCCTCCTCACAGACGTCAATTTGTCTTTTTTTTATTTTATTTTTTTTTAATCCCACGAATTCATTTTGCTCCTGAACTCGTTCACATCCGTCCAAGTTTAGTCAAACAAGGATTTAAGTGCAGCTTTTATTTTGAAATGAATCAAAATGTCCTACTTTCCTCCCACACTGTTTTTAAAATCCCTTCTGGAGTCAAACTGTTTTTTTTTTTTTTTGTTGTTGCTCTGGTGAAAGTTTTGTCGAGATCAGAAAGTCGTGTTGTTCCAGTTTGTGTATTTATCCATTATTGATGTTCCCAAAAGTTCCTGCATCTCAGCTGCGAGCGTTTCTTTTTTTTTTTCCTCTCAAGATAAAAAGATTATCAACAGATCTGCGCTTGTTTAGAATCGATAGAATCTCACAGTCGGATGAGAGAAAGTTTTCAGGGGAAAATACACAGAAAAGCTGTTTTGAAGCAGGTGAAGCTGAAACTGTTGAAATAAAACACGATGCTTCACCTGAGACCAGAGTTTAGACATTTACGTATTCTCACGTCTGCACGTTTCATCTTTCATCTTATTTGAACTCGAAATGCACAGTGGAAAAAATAAGAAGCAGTAAATATCCTCTTCGCTCGTTTCTGTTGCTGCTGCTCAATATATTTAATATGTTTGGAAGTGGAGACGAGTTTATTTATTTCGAAACGTTTTCCTGCCCCTAAAATAATTATAACACAAATACATTTTATTTCATGGCACCTTTACACCCGAGGGCCCTTTACAATAAATCCTAAATAAATACACAAATGATTAACGTGACCTTCAACACAATATGTAATAGATAATAATTTAAATTAATTCATGACCTGTCCATCTTTATTCTCATATGACAGATTATATGTTTCCTGTTTTTATGGTTAAAGTTCAGTAGAGATAGAAAAGTTATTGCATCTTCTGAAAGTTGACGTCTGAGGTTTCCTTACAAAACAAACTGCTTTTTAAAATATCTAATATCACACACGAGTTTTCAAAAAGCTCTTCGTTAAATAAACTTCCATCTTGTCAGAGGCTAAAAAACTGAATCCTCATTATTCAGCTCGAAGCATCAGCCGCTGTTCTCGAAGTCATTCATCACAAAACACTCAGAACTCATCAGATCCTCATTGATCCAAACTCATTTCTCTTCATTTAAAATGCAAATGAATCAACACGTGAACGAGTCCAACACGTTAAATATGTCAGATTTAAACACGTGGTAAAAACACAGAAGATTAGCAATAAAAACATAAAGTACAAAATACAAGTACGACAAAAGCGGAAGCTCTACTTCACAAGATGTTTAACTGCAGAAGGAGTTTTTGTCCAGAAGTGGAGGTGAACTCACATCCTAATACTTCTGTAATAGTACTTTTCGTGGTATTTCACAGTCCTCTCATGCTTCATGTATCCAGGGAGGATTTTATTTACGAGTACATTAACTGCAGGTTTTTAAAAAGCTAATTAAAAAATTTCATTGTGACGATCAGCGTTGGATTTCTTCGTTTTAAAGCTTCGACTTAAACATCAAAGTCGTTTCTAGACAAAGAGACAAAGGCCGAAGACTCCGTCCACACTTCCACTGTCCACAGGCGCTTCAGAAAGAAAACGCAGTGTTGTGGATGGAGCTGAACCTCGTCCCTGCGGCCGACCTCCTCGTCTTTATCTCTACAAACTGTTTTAAACCGTCCACTTATCTTCTCCCCTCCTGACGGCGGCCGCACGTCTCAACATCAGAGCCGTCAACCTGCTAAGTTCCTTTAATCCTCAGAAAGTATCCGTGCATATTTAAACGTGGGACAGAGTCCACGCTTTAAACACAGCGCGAAGGAAAGTCGATGTTAAGTGCCCGAGAGAAGTGGAGATCAAAAAGGGACAATGTGTGTTTAGCTCCGACAAGATCGGAGGTAGAGTAACTGAGGAGAGGAGGCGAGGAGGTAGGGGAGGAGGCGAGGTAGGAGAGGAGGGAGTTTAGGTTTCGATCAGTTAAGAGCAGAGCGGCTGTGATTCTGCTCAGCTGGAGAGAGAAAGTATCGACGTGGAGTCAGAGAACCTCGGCCTCCCCTCGCCTCCCTCAGGTGGGCATTAAGATCCAGCCCAGCGATGGAGGGAGGGAGAGACGGAGGGAGAGACGGAGGGAGAGAAGCCCCCGAGAGCTCAGCCCCAGCTTTGATTCACCGGGGTTTCTCACATCAACTTGCAGGAGTCTGGGGCCCGCCGCTCGAGGAGGGGCCTCCGCCTCGAAAACCACAACGCCGTCAAAAATTAATCGCCGCCGCTTTACTTTTCAATTATCAATTCAGCGTCGAGGCTTAGAGCGAGATTAAGGTTACTAACGGCTGTTAAGACGCCGGCGGAGAGGGAGCGAGTGTGTTCGGTGTTTTAACGAGGTGAAGAATCCGAGACGAGCGGCTACGATCGGTTAATACTCAGAGAAGCGAGGAGGAGATTTCATTGGACGACAGAGTTCCCAAGGCCGAGATTCGTGTTTTTGATTTAAATATAAACAGTAAAGAAATGTTCTGATGCTTTAAAGTAGTTTAACGTTAAAAAAAATCCAATTACATTTAAAATATCTTCTTTAAATCTGAGAGTGAAGTCACCAGAACATTCTTCTTCTTTGTTCAGTTGAGGAATTCCTCTGTTTTATCATCAGTTTTTAACGGCTGTCGTTTCCTGGAGTCTCGCTCTCGCTCTCTGCAGCGGACGCTCTCCTCCTCTTCCTCTTCGCGGCTCCAGATCCTCAAAGAAGAAACTTTCTAATGTAACATATCGATCAAAACTTACTTATGCAGCAGATTTCTGCCTCGTTCTGCTCTTCGCTCCTTTCATCCTGTGATTAAAGCTTCTCCCAAACCTCCTGATGAGGAGACACTTTACATCTTATCTTCCTGCTCGACCTCGTTAGGTGATTTAACGAACAGAAGAAAAGTTCTTCACTTCGTTAAAGAAGAAGAAGAACCAGATGTTTTAAAAATATGATGTATTTAGGTTTCAAGATATTTAAAGGACGGAAATATACGAAGAACCTTTTAGTGGTTAAAGTTAATTAAAGTTCGAATAATTCAAATTAAATAGTGTGTGTGTGTGTGTGTGTGTGTGTGTGTGTGTGTGTGTGTGTGTGTGTGTGTGTGTGTGTGTGTGTGTGTGTGTGTGTTTAAGATCATC